GAAATGAAAACATTGAGATGTCCGGGAGTGGAACGCTCCAGCTTAGGAGCGGATGCGGCAGAGGCGTACGAATTGGGAGTAAGGTATCACATTCTAGCAGGAGGGTGGGACAGAGGAGGTGTAGTCCAGATAGCCATAGGAGTCGGTGGGCTTGAAATAGATGTCAGTATTGAGGCAGTTTCCAGTGATGGAGACGTAGAGGTCCAGGAAGGGGAGGGAAGTATCAGGGATGGTCCAGGTGAATTTGAGGTTGGGGTGAAAGGTGTTAGCAAAGTTGATGAACTGTTCAAGCTCCTCATGGGAGCACAAGGCAGCGCCATTACAGTCATCAATGTAACAGAAGAGAAGGTGGTGGATGGTGCCAGTCTAATAGCGGAAAAGGGACTGTTCCACATATCCAATGAAGAGGCAGGCATAGCTTGGACCCATGCAGGTGCCCATGGCCACCCTCTTAGTTTGTAGGAAGTGGGAGGAGTTAAAGGAGAGGTTGTTGAGGATAAGGACAAATTCTGTTAAGCGGATGAGGGTGTCGGTATTGGGGAACTGGCTGGACCTGCGGGAGAGGAAAAAGTGGAGGGCTTTTAGGTCATCTGCATGGGGGATACAAGTGTACAAGGACTGGATGTCCATGGTGAAAGTGAGGTGGAGGGCCAGGGAATTGAAAGTTTTGGAGGAGGTGGGGGCGTGGGTGGTGTTCCTGACTTAGGTGGGGAGCTCCTGGACTGGGGGGCATGAGACAGTCAAGGTAAGCGGCGATGAGTTCAGTTGGGTAGGAGCAGGCAGAAACAATGCATCGGCCAGGCCATGGATAGTGTAGAAGGTTGTCAAAAGATATAGCAGGACATAGATCAGTTGCGTATATGCGTGGAGAAATGGCAAATGGAGTTTAATCTGGGTAAGTGTGAGGTGTTGCAGTTTGGGAGATCAAATGTTAAGGAAAAGTATACAATTAATGGCAGGACCCTGAACAGCATTGATGTACAGAGGGATCTTGGGGTTCAAGTCCATAGCTCCCCAAAAGTGGCCACACAAGTAGATCGGGTGATAAAGAAGGCATACAGCATGCTTGACTTTATTGGACGAGGAATTGAGTACAAGAGTCAGCATGTCAGGCTGAAGCTTTATACGACTTTGGTTAGGCCATATCTAAGAGTACAGAGTTCAATTCCGGTCTCCACATTACAAGGAGGATGCAGAGGCTTTGGAGAGGGTGCAGAAGAGGTTTACCAGGATGCTGCCTGAATTAGAGGGTATGAGTGATAAGGAGAGGCTAAGAAAAGTCTAGTTGTTTTCTTTGGAGCAGCGGAGGCTGCAAGGAGACTTGATGGAAGTCTATAGAATTATGAGATGCATAGATAGGGCTGACAGTCTGAATCTCTTCCCAGAGTTGAAACGTTTAATACTAGGGAGGATGCATTTAAGGCGAGAGCAGGCAAGTTCAAAGGAGATGTGAGGGGCATTTTTTTTTAAATTAGAGTGGTAGGAGTCTGGAACATGCTGCCAGGGGTGGTGGTGGAGCAGATACAATAGGGGCGTTTAAGGGACTTTTAGATAAGCACATAAATATGCAAGAAATGGAGGGGTGTGGATCGACGGCAGGCAGAAGGGATTAATTTAGTTTGGCATCACGTTCAGCTATGGGCCGAAGAACAGTACAGCACAGGAATGGGTCCTATGTTCTATTTGTCTTTTGCAGATGGCCAACCAGGAAACTCAATTCATCTTACTGCCTGCCATCAAGTGTATTGATAAGGATTTACTAGTTGACTATCAACCTACAGGCCACATAACATATGCATTTTTCATGCCATTTCCTGATGTGGGACCCAAACCCGGAGAACCCAGCCCAGAGGTAAGGATTCTAACCACTGTGCCACAAGATCTCCCAAACTGTTATGTAACTGGGAGTAATTCAAAGCTGCAGCTCTCTACTGTTGTCAATTTTCCCATGTTTATACATAAGTTTGAACATGCATTGACCTCTGTCTTGCTATTTATTCCCCTCCTTAACCGCTTAATGGACATCAAGTACATCAAGGACATGAAGTGTCATGTGACAAAGTAAGTGTGGGCTTTAAAATATGAATCAAAGATTCCTTTAAAAGTCAAATAACATAACAAGCCATTCATTCATTTTGAATAAATTCTATGCAAATATCCCAAATTTACCTGATGTGCAATAACAGAATTGTACATTGATGTTACCTGTTTTGCCTAATATTTTCAAAGTATTGTCATACCAAGACTTCCTGCAGCAAAAATGTTGTTTTTGAAGAGTAAACAACTGCATGCTATCCACAGTCATAACCGTGCCGCTCCAGTCCCAACATTGTACCAAAGAGGAAGCTGGTTTCAGTGAGAAGGGTGGAAAAGTGTCTCATGGCAAAGAAAATACTTAACGTCCTATCAGACGTTAACACAACTAGGTATTTCCTCTGATGTACCTCTTATTGGTTCAATAGATTTAAATCCCCATTTCTTGCCATTTGATTTTCGAACAAAAACTTTTGATAAAATGAACAACCTTAAAATTTGTTTTACCTGCACACTACCCAGTTCAACATATTACCCTTGCAATCACTGAGTCAAAGGCACCAGAACATGCAGCCTTGCAAGCAAAACCTAAAAAAAAAATTCTCTCCATATGAGCAAATGTGTTTACAAACATGCAAGGCCAATCAGCCCACCACGTTTGCGCTCACTCCTCATTATAATAAGTTAAAGTCCTACTGTCCTTCCATAATTCTATATGCCCTGTTTGAAACAAGTCAACTCTTGCAATATTATGTAACTGTCACTGCCTTTACCACTCCAAACTTTAACTAAAATTTCTCTGAAGCTCTCAGCTCACTCAGTCAAAAGAACTTAATTTGACAACTTCATCATTTACCCTATCAGAACTCAAGTATTAAACACATCTTTAATGCCCATTGTTGACAAAGTACTCTGTGCCTAACACTAAACCAATTTAATCCCTCTTCCCCAATAACTGTTTATTAGTTTATCTGCCTGCATATGCAAGAACTATGTTTACATAAACTTAAAATCGTGCTCTTCCTCCACATACATACACAATAAAATTGAAAACTGCAGCCAACAAACCAGCAGGCCTGGATGAAAACCAGACTAGACAGCATGGTTACGATTGTTACAGTTCTGTTTTTACAATGCCATGAAACATGAAAAACAACAATAGATATGAATATGTCACAAGCAGGAATGGAGATACCTGACAGCCAGCAAGTAGAACCTGCTGGCAAAAAATTGAGACATTTGTAAAGTAGCATAACTATTACTGAAAGAAACACCTACAGGAAAACCTGAATACATGTACCACAAATAGCTGCCTCTTTAAGGCAGCAACAACTTGTAAACCCAAAAGAGCTTTACAACTGCAGAATTCCTTCTGGTAAACATACCATTTTTATTAATTACTCAGTTAAGTGAAAAGGTATCCAATATCATTGCCTTCCTAACAATACCTTGAGCAAAAAAAATCGAGGTCATAAACGCCAAGAAATTGTACAAATTGATGCAACTGATCACCCATCACACCCACTGTTCTCAAAATAAAAGCTCACCATAAACAAGCAGGTTAACAAACTTAAGGATGAAGTTTGTAAGCAAGGTAACGCTTGAACAGGTCCTGTTCATGTGCAAACAATGCATAAACAGTCCACCATTATCATCATTCACTGCAGAATTACTTCTTCCTACACCTATACTCAACCCCACTCCTACTTCTAACACTCCTCAGCCCTTTAGACCACCCAGACACCTTTACAACCTCAATTTTCTGCCTCAGAACTCCTCCTTCCACAACCCCTAGCCCAAAATCACCTCATAACTATTCTCCAAACCCTAAACAGCTCCTAAACCCACATATGCCCCTAAGCCCTTCCTAACAATGCTGCCTTAGACTCAGAATCCTGATCTGACCCTAGATCCCCTCCTCGAACTCCTGCCCTGCCCCAGGACCCAGACCTTAGCAGTCACCCCAACGCGATCGCAAGACTCTTATTATCAGCCACCTGACTCCCAGACACCCACTATAAGCACCTATGTCAGACCCACTGATCACCTTTTTATATGCTAGTCATAACCCTGTCCCCGTCTCCCTACACCCAGAATCTCTTTCTCCCCCGGATACCAGACCCTCTCCTCTCTCTCAGACCCTTTCCAGTATCCCAAGTCCCTTCTTCACTCGCCCCGAGCCCCTCCTTCCTCTTCCCGTACCCCAGACACCTTGGTCCTCCACTCACTTACACCAGGCCCACTCCTCTGCCTTCAGTCCCCCTCATCGTCCTCTCCAGGGTCACTGGGACTGTCCTCGGTGCAGGGAGGGCCCGGGGCCTTTCCTTTCCTGCATGCCTCACCGACCACCCCACATGCAAGCGGCGCGGCCTGATCTGGGGCCCGAGGCCTACTGCTGGGCCTGGGTGGCTGCGGCGAGCGGGAAGCGGTAGGGCCTACGGCGCGGCTCAGCGATGACCCTGGTTTTTGAGATGGGGAGGAAAGGGGGGTGGTGACGGAGGGCGGCCTAACAGGAGAGAGCCGCTCTGATTCTCCCCACGCTGTAAGAAGGACGGCTGCTTACTGAGATGCTCCTTCGCCGGACTGAGTCTGTCTGTCGTACAGCACGGTTCTAGCCTCTCCCTCGGCCCGCACGGAGCCAGGCCCGGCCGTTTCTCCTGATCCCCATCGCCATCATCACTAGCACCGCCATTGGAGAGGGGGAGGGGAAAACAAACCGTCTCCCGCAGTCACGTGGACAAGATGGGCTCGCGCTGGGGGTGGGGTGGCCAAATCAGTTTGTCCTGTGTCTGTATATATATTCTGTACTGTATGAGCGTAATACCAAGTGTGTATAACTAGTGTGTACTCATTTTTGGTTATATGTGGGCTCTGTCTGTCTCTGTGTGTGTGTGTGTGTGTGTGCGTGCGTGCGCGCGCGCGCGCCCGCGCGCAGTGCAAGAGGGCTAGTCTCGTGTGTGCACGCACCTTGTGCAAAAAGGACAATCTGTGTGTGTGCACACCATCAGTACAGTAAGGGTAATATTGTGTGTATGTATCAGAGATAGCAGGAACTGCAGATGCTGGAGAATCTGAGATAACAAGGTGTAGAGCTGGATGAACACAGCAGGCCAAGCAGCATTAGAGGAGTAGGAAGGCTGACGTTCCGGGCTTAAGAAGGGTCTAAAAACTGAAGAAGGGTCTAGGCCCGAAACGTCAGCCTTCCTGCTCCTATGATACTGCTTGGCCTGCTGTGTTCATCCAGCTCTACACCTTGTTATCTCTTGTGTGTATGTATGCCCACTATGGTGAGGGGCACTCCTGTGTGTTCATACCCAGTGCAAGAGGGGCAGTCCTGTGTACATGTGCACCTAGTGCAAAGGGGTGGTCCTGTGTGGGTGTTCTAGTGCATGAGGGTAAATAATCCTCTGTGTGTGTGTGTGTGTGTATATCCACCTACTACAATAGTGCAATCCTTTGTGTGCGTATGTGCACCCCCATTGAAAGAGACAATCCTGTACATGTGCACCCAGTGAAAGAGTGGCAATCTTGTGTGTGCACGTCCAGTACAATGGGGACAAAAACAGAAGTTGCTGGAAAAGGTCAGCAGGTCTGGCAGCAGCTGTGAAGAAAAAAATCAGAGTTAATGTTTCAAGTACAATGACCCTTCCTCAGAACTGATGGTAGCTGGGAAAATGACGGTTTATATGCAGAAATTGGGGAGGGGGCTGTGGTAGGGAGTGAACGATAGGATAGAGCCCGAAGAGGGGGAAGAACATTTGGACAGACAAAGGAGTTTATAATGATCCGGCTGGGAGGGTGAATAGTTGTTAATGTGGACTGTTAGCAACTAACAATTCGTAGAGTGTAGTGGCAGGCTATGTGATGACAAGGCCTGGTGTGTGGGGTAGGGGGCTAGGACATGGGAGAGTTTAGGCCCTAAAATTATTGAACTTAATATGGAGTCCAGAGGACTGCAAGGTCCCCAAGCAGAAAATGAGGTGTAGTTCTTCTAGCTTGCGTTGAGCTTTGCTGAAACACTGCAGCAAGCCAGAGGCAGAGATGGTGGCCAGGGAACAGGGTGGTGTGTTAAAGTGGCAGGCAACAGGTAGCTTGGGGTCTTTTTTGTGAGCAGAACGTAGATGTTCTGCAAAGCGGTCACCCAGTCTGTGTGTTTTCACACCGAGTGCAAGAGGGTCAATCCTGTGTGTTTGTGTGCACCTAGTGCAAAGGGGCGGTCTTGTGTGGGTGTGCCTAGTGCAAGAGGGTAAATAATCCTCTGTGTGTGTGTGTGTGTGTGTCCCTGTGTCCACCTACTGCAATAGTGCAATCCTTTGTGTGTGTATGTGCATTCCCGTCGAAAGGGACAATCCTGTATATGTGCACCCAGTGAAAGAGGGGCAACCTTGTGTGTGTGCATCCAGTACAATAGGCGCAAAAACAGATGATGTATGGTTTCTCCCCATTGTGAATCATGCTTTCTCCTTCCATGTTCAAATATGATGAAATTCAGGTACTACCCCACACCCCTCCCTGTTTTCTGCATATAAACCAACATTTTCCCAGCTACCATCAGTTCTGAGAAAGGGCCACTGGACCTGAAACGTTCACTCTGATTTTTTTTCTTCACAGATTCTGCCAACCTGCTGAGCTTTTCCAGCAACTTATGCTTTTGTTCCTGATTTACAGCATCTGCAGTTCTTTCGTTTTTAGAAAATAGGGGCAATCCCGTATGCTGTGTAAGAGTGCACCCAGTGAAATAGAGGAAATCCAATCCAATGTGTATGCAACAAATGCACAAGGGCAATCCTGTGCGTTTGTGTCACCCAGTGCAAGAGGGGCAATTCTGCATGTGTGACCCCAGTAAACAAGGGGCAGTCCTGTGCGCCTATGTCACGCAGTGTGTATGTGTCTGTACCCAGTGCAAGAAAATAAATCCTGTGAGTGTGTATATGTATGCACCCACTGCAAAAAGGATAATTTTGTGTGGGCACCCAGTTCAAAAGGGTAAATGCTGTGTCTGCAACTCACACACACACATGCACCCAGTGCAAAAGGGGCATTCCAGTGAGTGTAACATGAATGCAAGGGAGCAATTCTGTGTGTGTGTGTGTTTGCACCTACTAGTCAGAAGGCCAATCTGTGTATCAGAGTGCAAGAGCGAGAGGGGCAATCCTGTGTTTCTGTGTGCATGCGGTGTCTATGTGTGCACATGTACATGCGAACTAAATGCAGGAGGGACAATCCTATGTGTTTGCATGCAACCAGGCTCTGTGAGTGTGTGCACCATGTGCAAGAGGAGCTATCTGTGTATGCACCCAATGGAAGAGGGGCAATCCTGTGTGAGTATGTGTGCACCCAGTTCCGTGTGTGGTTGTGTGGGTGTACACCCAGTGCAAGAAGGCAAATGCTCTGTGTATGTGTGTGTGTGTGTGTGTGTATACCCGGTGCAAGAGGATCTATATTTTTCTTCACCCGGTGCAAGAGGGGCACTTCAATCGGTCTGTGCAAGAACACAGCATGGGGCTGGAAAAACGCAGCAGACTAGGCAGCATCGGAAGAGCAGGAACGTTAATGTTTCAGGTCAGGACCCTTCTTCAGAAATGGGGAGGGGGAAGGGAGCTGGTAAATAAATAGAGAGAGGAGGGGTGGGGCTGGGGAAGGGTAGGTGGGATGGTAACAGGTTGGAGCAGGTAGGGAGTAGTGGGGATTGATCAGTGGGATGGATGGAGTCAATAGGTAGGGAAGAAGGTGGACAGGTTGTGTCAGGTCAAGGAGATGGGGATGAGAGGGAAATTTGGACATGGGATGAGGCCAGAGGTGGAGAAATTTTAAAACTGGTGAATTCTACGTTTAGGCCATTGAGCTGTAGGCTCCCGAGCAGAATATGAGGTGTTGCTCCTCCAATTTGCGAGTGGTGTCATTGTGGCACTGGACGAAACCCAGGATGGACATGTCACCCAGGGAGTGTGAGGGGGACTTAAAATGGTTTGCGACCGGATGATGTTGTCAATTGTTGCGTACAGAGTGCAGATGCTTTATGAAATGGTCCCCGAGTCTACGCTTGGTCTCACCGATGTACAAGGGGCCACATCGGGAGCAACGGATACAGTAGACCAAGTTGGAGGATTACAGGTGAATCCCCTGTTGAATATGAAAGGTTTGCTTTGGACCTTGGATGGAGGTGAGGAGGGAGGTGTAGGGTTAGCTGTAGCACTTCCTGTGGTTGCAAGGAAAGGTTTCGGGTATGGTGGGGTTAGTAGAGAGTATGGATCGGATGAGGGTGTCGCAGAGTCAGCGGTCCCTACAATAGGAAAATAGGGGTGGGGAGGGAAATATATCTTCAGTCATGGGGTTGGATTGTAGGTGGCAGAGAAGGATACGCTGGATGCAGAGGTTGGTGGGGTGGTTTGTCAGGACAAATAAATGTCTTTACTTTTGTTGGGGCTAGGGTGTTTGAGGGTAGAAGTGTGGAAAATGCAAGAGATGCAGTTGAGGGCATTTTTTGATCACCAGAGTGGGGTGAAGTTGTGGTCCTTGAAATAGGAGAGCATCTGGAATGTCTGGGAACGGAACGTTCCATCTTGGGAGCAGATGAGGCAGAGGGATTAGGAGCAAGGGATTGCATTCTTGCAGGAGGGTGGGTGAGAGGAGGTGTAGTCCAGGTAGCCACAATGACACCACACGCAAACTGGAGAAGCAACACCTCATACTCCGCCTCGGGAGCCTACAGCCCGATGGCCTAAACATAGACTTCACCGGTTTTAAAATCTCCCCAACCCCAGCTTTATCCCATGTCCAACCCTCCCTTTCATCCCTGCCTCCTTGACCTGACATAACCTGTCCATCTTCTCCCCCACCTATCCGTCCTACCTTTCCCGCTGACCAATCCCCACTAGTCCCTACCTGCATCCAACCTATCACCACCCTACCTATAGAGATAGTAAGAACTGCCGATGCTGGAGTCAGAGATAACACATTGTGGAGCTAGAAGACAAGCAGCATCAGAGGAGCAGAACAGGCAGTATCAGAGGAGCAGGAAAATTGACATTTCGGGTCAGGACCCTTCTTCAACCACCCCATCTACCTTTCCCCAGCCCTACCCATCCTCCGTTCCGCCTCCTTGACCCAACACAAACCTGTCCAACTTCTTCCCCACCTATCTGCCCTACCCTTCCCACCGACCAATCCCCACTACCCTCTATCTGCATCCAACCTATTACCATTTCACCTACTTTTCCTCAGCCCCACACATCCTTCTTCCCACCTCCTTGACCTGACACAACCTGTCCATCTTCTCTCCCACCTTTCCACCCCACCCATCCCACTGACCAATCCCTACTACTCCCTATCTGCATTCACCTATCACCATCCCACCTACCTTTCCCCATGCCCAACCCTCCTCTCTATTTATTTACCAGCTCCCTTCCCCCTCCCCATTTCTGATACTGCCTGGCCCACTGTGTTCCTCCAGCTCCACACTGTGTTGTCTCTGACTTCAGCATCTGCAGTTCTTGCTATCTCCAATCGGTCTGTGAATCTAGTGTAAGAGGGACAATACTGTCTATGCATCACATGAGGGGAGTGGCAATCTAGTGTATGTGCACCTAATGCGGTGAGATACAAACCACTGTGTGTGTGTCCCTGGTGCAAGAAGGGCAATCTGTTGTGCATGTGTGCACCCAGGGCCAGGAGATTCAATCCAGTCAATGTGCACTATTGTGGAGAGGTGCGATCCATTTTGCA